AGTACCAGCCTTATAAGAAGTCAGTACGAAGATCCCACCGGATTGTGTATGCATCAGAGGTGTAAGAATTATAATGGAGCTTCAAGTTATGGACGTGAATTATACCTCTGTGGAAGGGAGGTCATGAAAGAGATAGAAGATACGACGCGAGATTTTAAGGTAAGTATGGTAAAGGTGAACAGCGTACGAGATACTCAAAGGCAGAATATGTGAATAGTCCATACTTCGGATAGAAGGCTAGAAGTGCTGGGATTCAATATCTAGGAATGATAGCGGCATAATCAGTGGCATATCTCATAACATATGGTTTCTAGGCATCGAGGAGGCTAACTAAGACAGTAAAGAAGAGTTAAAGACGATGTGATATCTCGCTTAATGTCCCGGAATGACACAAGGAAATCTAAGATGCAAACAAGTTGAAAGGTTGCAAGTAATATAAATAGAGTTGTGTAGGTCGCAAGCCATTATATGGTGAAGCGACAAGGTTCTAGAAGACAAGAGTAAGGATAAGAAAGGGCGAGTGAGAAGGTAACGAAAATGGATAAGTCTTCAGGATTAAGCCCATGAAAACAAGAAGAGCAGATGGTTTCTCTAAATTATACAAAGCTCACTATAGCCTGAATGTACTCAAAGGAGTCTAAGACTAATAACATTTAGATCCACCCTGGTAATAGAATGAGGGTGTAATTGTGATAGATAAAAAAAATGACGTATGGGCCTTCGATTGAGTAATGATTCAACGAAGAAAAGAAATGGATCTTATGAATTGGATAGGATTAAAGTACCCACGCAAGGTGAATCACATTGGGATGCGGCGAGGTACGGTTATGAAAGCAGGGTATCACCCCAGGTGGATCAATCTAATCATTTCAGACGTTCCCTGATAAAACGTTAATCCTAGCAGCAATATTGCATAAAAGTTTAAGTAATCAGTGGTTTATTGTAGATCAATATTGAGGTGAATCAACAATGGATGGACAAAAGTTACAAAGTATGAGATAAGATTAGGATGTCATTCTAAAGATGAACAGTAATGAGGAATCATTAAAGGATTTAAATTTATACATATGGAATGAGCAACGAAAGTAAGCTGGAATTTGGTAGCAGACCTCAGCAACGATAAATTAAAGTAAGAGTTATGGCAGTAAATTCATACGGATGGTTAAACGGACCTCTGCGATGAGATATAACAATATTCATGTATTCAACCAAGTAACGAGCGAAGAACTTCGGTATACTCATTAATGCCCAAAGAGACATCTTATCAAGCAAGCCTAGATATTGGACACACTTACAAGATCAAAACTATATAGGTTGCATGATGAAAGGTAGCAACAATTACGAGATTGGAAGGATTCCGACTACAAGTTGTGGTGTGAGAAGGAGGCCTAAGGGGGGATGCCCTAGACTTTGGACCTTATTCATAGAACAGTCGCCTAGATGGCAGGAAAAGTCTAAAGTATTCAGAAGATATAAGTTAAGAAAATGATAAGAGCATTAGTCAACATTCGAGGACGAATGTTCCAAAGGGGGGAATGATGTTACACCCTGCAATATTATGTCAATATTACGTCCCACAGTATTATATTACAACAATGTTATGCTCACAGTAATAAGTAACGACGATGTTGCACCCTGTAGTATTTTACGTTAAATTTATCGTAAGGTAATTGACACCAGTCCAAGGAAAAATTATTTGAGAGTTATAAGGATTATGCCATATCATAAGTGATGAGTAAACTCGTGAAGGTAAGAGGATAAGTAAAATCGAAGAAAACGAATTTTTGTCAAAGTTTGACAATTTGGGATAAAATACGAATCAAGTCATAATACCTGATAATTATAAACTAGTACCATGCAAAATACCATATGACCATGGTAGTATAATATATAAAGTATATATGAAGTACTTTGAAAATAAATAGAATTTTAAGTAATTTGTGATAATTTTTAAATTATGCGGGTAATAGATCAATTACCGGGTAACGAAACATTACCCGATTAACTAATAAGTGGATAAAAATTTATAAAGTCATACCCCAAGAATCGTGGCAGCCCCTCCCTTTATGTTTAAGGTGACTCATTAGTAACCTTTACATGTGCCATACAAGGATTAAATGCCTAATAAACAAGTCTTATCTAATTAAAGACTTTTGTAAGGCATTTTAAAATGGGTAAGCACTTCTTGTAAGGTCAAAAAGCCAATGCATTATGCCTTAGAACCAGCAAAAATGTGAAAGATCTACAATGTTAGCCAATTTTGATTTCAACCAAAAAGCAGAACCATTTCTTTCGTTCACCATGCTAGCCAACATTCCAATTTAAGAGCTACCAAGTTGTTTCTGAATTTTGAGAGTTTCAAAGCAGAGTTTCGTCCATATTTCGCAGAATCAGATTCGTTCAAATGACTCCGGGAACAGATATGTTAAGGCTATCCCTTCTTTCTTTTGGCATTATCCATACGATACGAAACAAACGTGCAAATGCACAAATTCCATAAATGACTCTATTCATAGAAGTATTAGATATATCTATGTTCTTGAATTTTCATGTGTCATAATATTTATCATCTGTTCATGGGTCTCAGAAAAATATGAAAGTTGAAAAAAAAAGTTTACTTTATGATATTGCTCAAAGACAAAATGGTCTTATGAAATTTCGAAAGATTTCATTAATGTACTTTTCATGCATTTCATACATGTGCATTGACCCATGACCAGATGTCGTTATATATGTGTATATATGTATATGGGATATGGGAAAAGGTTATGGCGTTATATACGCACCACCACCTGATCAGCTGGTATATGATGATGATATTGCCCACAGTGGCTGAAATATGATTCAAACGACGTTATATACGCATATATATGTAAATATGATTCAAACGGCGTTATATACGCGTATATATATATATATATATATATATGTATGTATATATATGTATATGGCATATGGGAAAGGTTATGGCATTATATACGCACCACCACCTAATCAGCTGGTATAAGATGATGATTTTGCCCACAGTGGCCGATATGATATGATGGATGTCCTCAGAGGCTGATGATGTTATGAAACATGTACCTATGCACGACGTGACATTCATACGCATATGCATGACGCTAAAAGTAATTTATGATTTTCAAAGTTATTCAGACTTACAGGTTAAGTCATGTACTCTATATTTCTTCCATGTCTCTTATGTACTTATTTATGTGCCTTACATATTCGATACATTATTCGTACTGATGTCCCTTTTGCCTGGGGACGCAACGTTTCATGCCCACAGATCCCATTAGACAGGTCGAGAGCCCTCCAAGTAGGCTATCAGCTTAGCGGAAGATGTTGGTGCACTCCATTTGCTTCGGAGTTGCTTGTTTGGTTAGTATGATTTAGACGTGTATTATTTGGTATGGCAGGACTCTATCCCGACCTTTATGACATTTATGTACTCTTAGAGGCTTGTAGACATATGTCGTATACGTGAAAGATTGTACGGCTTTGTCGGCCTATGTTTTGAGTTTATAAATGATTATGTTGGCCTATTAGGCCCGTATGTCCAGTGTATATGATGATGTATTAAGAAAGATATGTTACGTTGGTACTCGGTCAAGTAAGGTACCGGGTGCCCGTCGTGGCCCATCGGTTTGGGTCGTGACAGAGCTATTCAATGGTTGATCCAAAAATTCTAAAAGGGGTTCAAAAAATAATGTACTAAAAGTTTTTTTTGTGCAAATCGGTTCAACAAATTATATATATACATAAAGAAATTTAACCTATATATACACTGTCACGCCTCCTTTTTCCACCCAGTGGTATATAAGGAAATTTTTCCAATTTAAGTGACATAAATCAAAATGGGATTATTTATTAAAATTCAAAGTCGTCACTTAATTAATGGTGTCTCAAGTCACCGATTTATTTTAAAATCCCAAGTCGAGGAAATTGACTCTATTTTTACGATCTGCAAATACAGAAGACCAGGTAAGGAATTCTGTTAACTCGGGAGAAGGTGTTAGACATTTCCGAGTTCCGTCGTTTTAGCACGGTCGCTCAACTATTATTAATTGGCCTAATCATCTGATTTATTACATGTTTTAGCCTATGGTGCATTTTTAGTTTTATAACTGCTTTTATTAAATTAGGAGGATTCAGCGTTATTTAAAACATGCCTTGAACCACGCCACATGAAATGCACCCGCAGTTCGCAACACGTTCTATTTAACGTCATTAAGAACTGGAATTGGGTCACATGAAATGCACACCCAAAATTAATAATTAAAGAAAATCAATTTAAGAAACGCACCTAAAGCAACTACGAAAGTTCAAAACATTTGCAAGGGCCATAGCTGATTCAGTTGATGGCACACCCCGCTTTTTAGAATTAGTAATAATTATATGAGGGTCATGAGTTATTTAATGAAAATGGCACACTCCAAGTCTATTCTTTCAAAGGATGTTTGAACTACTCTTTTGAGGGCCATGGACCATTGGTTTTGGTAACATGGCACACCTCAATCTAATTAAAGGAGTCAAGTTTAATTAAAAGGACTTAAAGGCGGTTTGAGTTTTTATCCAGATTAAAATTATGTATACTGTCTTGAAGAGCCTAAACAGAGTACTATATCGCCTGGTGTTTGAGGGAGATTTTGGGCTTAAGGTAACCACAAACAGTATTTAAAAAAAAACGAACTGGGCTAAACGGAAGGCCCAAAATAGAAATTGGAGCTGCATGAAGTGACACAATTCAGCTGGGCCCCACCTGAGGTCCGAGCACAAATTATCGATCAAACCAAAAGTAATTTCATCAAACTTATAATTAAATTTAAATAATCTAAATGAGAATATCAAAGAATTAAACAGTTGATATTAATTCTAAACTATCCCAACTTGAGATCAGGCCACCTGAAATTGGGCCTCATGTCAGGCTCATTTGAAATACCTAGCAAGTGTAAGCTTCAGATTGCAAGTAATTGAGACATTCATGAATTCTCTATACATTGCATCAATTTTCATGTAGGTTCAACGCTATTTGATAAAAACTTTGAAACATGTGAAGAAACAATTAATTGGTATACGACAACTAATGAACCTTAACCTATAAAATGACAAACGAAATTAATATAAACTAACAGTCCCAAACATGCTAGATTATGCCCTTTCATCACACTGCTAGATATTCTCCACATTCAATGAACAATTGGAGAGGAATCCAGCAGCCATTTTTCAAGAGAATACCAATGCCTCACACAAGGTTAATCGAATTTCCATATGCAGAGAAGATGAGCTAACTACTACCATAGCTTTACTCTGAACTTTGATACAAACTTAGTACTTAAAACATAAACTACCTAGGCATGTATTACTGCATATTTATTACATTTAAGAAAGAGAGAAAAGGAAAGAAGCTAAATGGCCGAAGTACGAATGTGAAAATCAGACTTCAAACAGCAGGCTGTCTTTATTGATTTCAGCAGAAACAACATCTTCCACATAGAATATATTTAAACTGTAATGGTCAAAATCAATGTTCAAATGAGTACCTAGGTAATAAGAGACAACCGGAGAATTTCAACAATGAAATAACAGTAGCAACAGCTTTCAAACAGCAATAAACAGCCAATTTTAAACAGATAAAGCCATCTTTTAAGCCCAGAAGGAAAGTAGTGTGTTCAGCTTTAGAAAATCTCCCAGAATACAAAGACCAAATGCAATAGAACAGTGATTGCCAACTTTTCTCTTTTTCTTTCTAATTTTCAAGCTATATTAGTGAAGATCTGTTTTCTAGCCGTTTCTGAATTTTCAGTCTTCCAATTTCTCCATCCTCTCTTGGCAATAAAGGAAACATGCCTTTTATAGAAAACCTTTAGGGCAGCAGAAATGATTCAAGTTTTTACCAATTACCCCTTCTCCCAATTTTTATTTTTTCATTTTTAACCCAGAATTTTAAAACCAATTTCTGAAACTACCTAACCCTCTCTTTCCTGGAAATTTCCAATTCAGTTTTTAAATATTCTTTCACTTGAATTTCCCCCAAATACCCTTTATACCCCTGTTATTTACCCTCATGAAATCCAACTGACCCAAATCAAAACCCTGGGCTACTTTAGAACGGGTCAAAATGACCCAAAAGCTCAAAGCTGACTCAAACCAAACTCATGAGCCTTCGAAGCCCATCTACTGACCCAACCAAGACGAAAAAAAACAATCGACAACTTATACAAAGAAAAGAACTCGACCATCTTTAAATATTAATTCAAAATATAGAAAATAAAGGCAAACAAACAAAATTAATTCTACTCTAATCCTTTTTTTTTAAACAAAATTAGTCTAGAATTACTCACAAATTAATGCTTTCCGAATTTTAAACTGGTCAAAGGTAAAAAGGAAACAGAAAAAATAGAAAGAATGGGGAGAGAAGAGAACAAAGGTAGGGAAAGAAATGAATAGAGGTACCTAGAATAAATAGACGAACGGGCTTGAACAGATTATCCGACAGCTTCCGATTTAAACCAAAAATAAGTGTTAATCGGCTTGTTCTTGTGAGAACAACCGTCTAACACTCGTTTCAGGCCAAAATCTCTTCAAAGCTTGGAGAAAAATGCACCCAGACCCTTGCATGATGAGTCAGAGGCAGGAAGGGATTTAAGGTTCCGTTTTAGATCTGAAATTAAAGGAAAATTGTGGGGATTTTGGGAAAGTTGACAATGATTTGGTATTTGAGGGAGTATGGGGAGTGTGTAGTGAATTTTTGGGGTTGATTGGAGCTTCAACACCGTCGGTGGCGAATTTCGGTGGGTGGTCGGCGGTGGTGAGCTATGGAGATAAGAGAGAGGCTTGTAACAGATCCTAGGTTATATCTGACGTTTGGACAATTTTAAATTAAAAGAGGGGTAGTTTCAAAGCCGGTGGATGAAAATAAATGAAAGGCCCAAATCTAATTTTAACCCTTGAACTCAAAACGACGAAGTTTGGTTCCAAACTACGTCATTTGAATCATCTTGATGCCTGAAGGTTTTTGACCGGGTTTGGACTTAATTTTGGACATGGATTGGGAAACAATTGAGCGGGTCTTCAATTAAAATTGCCCAATTTCACAAGACAAATCAATCTTTCAATTCCTTCTTTTATTTTCTAATTTTTCCTTTTCTTTTAATTAAAATCCTACAAATTAAAAAAATCCTAAATTATCCAAAAGTATGAAATTAAACTAATTAGCTAATCATAAAAATTATAAACAAACTTAATTCTAAATTAAAAGAGAAAAATCAATAAGCTGAAAATTAAAAGACAAAAATGTAGAAATAAACTATTTTTTGTGATTTTTCATTTTTATAAAACAACTAATTTACTAATTAACCTAAAAATATAAAAATAAATTCTAAATGCAAATGCAGAGTATTTTTGTATTTTTATGATTTAAATAAATATTAAACATGCACAGAAAAATGCAAATAATTAATAAAATCCTACAAAAAATCCTATAAAGTGGAAAAAAATTGGGGAAAAAAATCTATTCTTGGATTTTATAGGAGTATTTCATATAGGGCAAAAATCACATGCTCACAGCTGCCCCTTTTTGTTCGGAAACATGAAGAGTTTTCGTGCAAAGATAAAGTGAGCGGATACGAGCGATTTTGCCCATTTGAATACTCCGTGGGAAGCTTTTTGAAAGGTTTGATCGCACCCTGCTTCTGAGGTTGCCTACATATCCTTGACCATAAAGGAATCAGGTCAGTGTAGTTCAAAAAGTTTCGGTAGCTGGGACTACCAGGAAGCTGTGATTTCACTGTTGCTGTTGCTGCTACTGCTTGCTGAACTCCTTATTACACCAAGACAATATAAAAGAATCTAGACTAAACTAAGATCTATGAATTACAAGATTCCTATCTATATCTTCAAACATAATCTTGCAGTTTATGTTGCTTTGTTGACTTGTACTCTCTAGGTGAAATTCCTTTGCTGCTGGTTTGAATTATATTCTGAGGCGATTTCCCTTTATTTTTCAGGCGGGCACCTGATTACTGAACTTGAATCGTCTTCCTTCGAACATTGCTGCTTTCCCTTTGTTTTCCAGGTGGGCTCCTAATTAACAACGTTTACACGATTTTTCCTCGAAACTCGAACTGCCTCCCTTTGTTCTCCAGGTGGGCTCCTGATTACCGACACTTGAATTGCTCTTCCCTTTGTTCTCCAGGTGGGATACTGATTATCAACACTTGAATTGTTCTTCCCATTGTTCTCCAAGTGGGCTCCTGATTACCGACGCTTGAATTGCTCTCCATTTGTTCTCCAGGTGGGCTCCTGATTACCAACAGTTGAATTGCTCTCCCTTTGTTCTCCAGGTAGGCTCCTGATTACCAACAGTTGAATTGCTCTCCCTTTGTTCTCCAGGTAGGCTCCTGATTACCAACACTTGAGTTGCCCTCCCTTTGTTCTCCAGGTGGGCTCCTGATTACCAACACTTGAATTGTATTCCCTTGCTCTCCACGTGGGCGCATGATTGCCAAAACTTTAACCGTATTCCCTTGGAACTTGATTTGTTTTCCCTTTGTTCTCCAGGTGGGCTCCTGATTACCAACACTTGAATTGTATTCCCTTGCTCTCCACGTGGGCGCATGATTGCCAAAACTTTAACCGTATTCCCTTGGAACTTGATTTGTTTTCCCTTTGTTCTCCAGGTGGGCTTCTGATTGCCGAACTTGAACTACATGCTCTTACGACTGCTTTTCCTTTGAACTTTCTTCCCTTGTTTCTACAGGTGGGTACCTGATTGCTTGAACCTGAATTGTCTTTTTCTTGAAACTGTTTTTCCTTTGAACTGTCCTCCTTTTATTCTACAGGTGAGTGCCTGATCGCTTGAACCTGAATTGTCCTTTTTCTTGAAACTCATGTTGTTTTCCCTTTCTCTCCAGGTGGGTGCCTGATTACAACAAAATAGACAAAACTAAGAAAATTTTCTGCCCCAGTTTGGTAGCTGGGCACATCTGTGAGTGTTAATTGAATCATGTTGCCCGATATCTCTAAGAATTCGAAAACTAGATCCCATTATCCAGGAGGGTCCTGAAAATTCATAGTTAACTGACAGTTTTTTAAGCTAAATGATATTTCCTAAAGGTATGACTTCCTCTAAATCTTGTTATCCGTGAAGATCTTAAACTAAATCTCATTATCTAGGAGGGTCCTGAAAATTAAAATCAAATCTCATCTTAAGAGTGACAACTTTAAGGCTAAATTATATTTCCCTACGGCAGAACTTACGCTAAATCTTGTTATCTAATGGAGGTCTTAAAGCTAAGTCCCATTATTCAGGAGGGTCCTGAAAATTTCTAATTGAATCCTATCCTAAGCATGAAACTTTAAGGCCAACTTATATTTCCTCAAGGTAAAACTTATGCTATATCTTGTTACGCATGAATATTTTTCATTTTAACTAGGTCCCATTATCCAGGAGGATCCTGAGGATTTACGGTCGAACCTGTCTGGTACTTACTTTCTTTACGGAAGGTTTCTCCGAAACAAACGGAATTTTCTGCCCCTATTTCAAATCAAAGAAAAATATTGTCAGTTTAAAATGTGGTGGTTAGTTTGTGGCATTCTTGGTAAAGGTGGCCTCTTCGCCGTCGTGCTTTACTTTGACTGGTTGCCTTGAACTGGACAAGTACCGTTTGACTTTCTGACTGACTCTCAACCGCAGGACCTTAGATGACCCGAGAGTTCTACACCCGAACTATTGTTTTACATTTCTGACCTTTCTACCTGAACCTCTGTATCTCCCACAAGATTACTAAAACCTTCGACCAATGGAACTTTCACTGACACCTTATTTCCCACTTTACATCATGTTATCTCTGGTATGCCTTGGCTCACTTTGCTTTGTACAATTTTGGAAGTTGGTAGTAATCTTTGAAATCCCTTCTCACTTGCTCAAACAAAACTGATATTGGAAAAATCTTAGAGAAATAAACCCAAAAGAAATGAAATGCAATAACTTCGAGAGTTAAGAATAAAGAAGAAAATCCAAAACTGGATGATTGTTTGAAGACAAAAAAAGAAAAGAGACTTATCTGAGCGGAGCAGCTGGCACCAATGATCATGACATACATTTCGGATTAACCAGCCCAGCATATTCAACTAATCACCTTTCAGTTGTCATACTTTATGACCTGGGATCTCCATAACCCAACTTCTTCACCAAATCACTGACTTTGTCCGGCCTGCGGTGCCCTGAAGGGTTTTCACCAACAAATCTCTCTCATTTGTTCATCTCTCAACTCAATGTCGCCTTACGGTTCCTGTGAAAGTTTTTACCAATAAGACTCTCTCATTTTTCATTTTCTTACTCCAGATGGAGTGTTGCCCCTGATATGAATCACTTCTATTTGCTCGACTTGGCATCTCTCGAAGACTGGTCAGAAAGTCTTTCTTTGGACCGTTATGTGGGCTTTTGGATAAGGTTAGAAAGAAAGGATATCGAAAGGCTCAAATAACTTGAATGGGTTTAAAATTACAACTCTTGGAATCAGATTTCTTACAAAAACCACAACTTTCTGCCCCAGTTTCTTTTCTTGGGGACTTTGAATTTTTATTTTGATGGAACCGAACCGTGAGGCTGCCTACGTATCCTTAAAAGAAATCAGGTCGAACGTAGTTTGTCACACCTCCTTTTTACCCATCCGAAGGGGTATAGGGAGTCTTTTCCAATTTAAGTGATAATCGAAATGAGATTATTTATATTAAATTCAGATTCGCCACTTGAGATAATTTATGGTGTCCCAAGCCACCAGTTTAAAATTCCGAATCGAGGAAAGTTTGACTCTGTTTTACAGTCCGCGAAACACAGAAATCCGGGTAAGGAATTCTGTTAACCTGGGAGAAGGTGTTAGGCATTCTCGGGTTTCGTAGTTTTAACACGATCGCTCAACTATTAAGAATTGGCCTAATTATCTGATTAATCACATGTTTTAAACCTCCGTGCATTTTTAACCTTTTTAACCGCTTTTAATATTTTTAGGAAAATTCAAAGTTATTTAAAACACATCGTAAGCCACGCTACATGAAATGCACCCGCGGTTCCTGACATGTTTTATTTAACCTTGTTGAGAATTGGAGTTGGGTCACATGTAATGCACACCCGAGTTTAAGGCAATTAATTTAAATAGCGTGCCTAAAGCAACTAAGCACTTTCAAGTTTGCGAGGGCCATGGAAAATTCAACTAAATAGCACACCTCGATTTCTAAAGGATTAAAGTTAATTAAGTGAGGGCCATGGGTTTTGAGATTTTATTTGTCATGACACACCTAGATTTCGATTTTAAAGGAAGCTCGAACTAAGCTTTTGAGGGCCATAAACTATATCTTACCTAATATGGCACACCTCAAATCTAATTGTTTAAAAAGACTTCTTATTTAAAATTATGAGGGCCATAAGCTATTTGTGTCTTTCTTGTTTTTTTGGCTAAAAGAACATGCAACAGTAATGATACTCCTCGATATAGGACCATGTTTACAGAGGCTTAAATTGATTCACATACTTTACACAAAAAGGAAAAAGTTAATGACACCAGCCTATTCGGCATATTTACACGTCAAAAGGACCTTTTATGTATGCTTTTATATTTGAACCATCAAACAAAAGAGAGGAAACAATAAATCATGAATATTTAAAGTATTTCCTAAACAAATATGCATAGTATTTGAAACCTCAAATCCAAAGACGCCGGAGTTTCAAACCAAAAGAAAAATACCAGCACATACAAAATTATTAATACAACCACAATTTATTCAAGCATAATCTCAAGCTAGTACAAAATAAGCTGTAAAACAAATATTCAACTTTAGGAGTTTAAGAAATGGACTACCACATAAATACATTTTTTAACATTAAGCATCAGTTAAGCAAAAACGCAGAAACACAATAAAGAGAGGAATACGAATGACCTTTTAGAGCGTCTATCTTTAAATTAAAGGGAGCAGAACCTCCATGAAAGGTGTACAACCAACGATCTACAAAACAACTTGGATAGCAAGTGAAATCAAGACGAGATCTACAAATTGAGCTCGGCTTCAAGCAGAAATCAGCAATTCGCACTTCAAACGGCAATGACCCAGGAAAAAGCTTTTAAGCTTTAAAAATTTTAGATATGATTTTTTTGATTGATTTTTTTTTTAAATTTCAAAGCTCCTTTCTCTTTCTATTTCTTGTGTGTTTATGAGAATTTCAGATGAGGGGGATGAAGAAAAGATGGATTGGAGAAGAAGAAGAAGGAGCAAGAAGGGAGCGGTGCTGCTCAATCCACCGCCGCGAAGCCCGCTGCTCTGGCGACGTCGAAAAAGGCTGTTGTGTATGGGGAAAGTCGTCCTTGGTTCTTCAAGGTGAGGGCTGGTCGTTTTTGGTGTTGATTGCTGAAAATGAGATGAAGAAGAAGGTCCCGGGAGGGTTTGTTGTGCTGTGTGTCAATTAGAAGCTGGAGAGGGAAGGGGTCTCATGATCTCTATCTTTAGGTCTAGCTAAGTTTTTAATTAAAAAGGGGGAGGTTGGGTCAGGCGGGTCAGGTCGGATTTTTGGCCTGGGTGGTTTGTACGGGTTTGGGTAGTTTTTAGGCTGAGATTTGGGCCTTATTTGGGTACAAGAATTAGCCCAATTCGTATTAAAACCCCTCTTTCATTCTTTTTCCTTTGTTTTTCTTTTTCTTCTTCTTTAATTAAAAATCCTAAAATTAAAATACTAGATTATCTAAAAATGTGATATTAAACTAATTAACTAATTATAAAAATTATAAACATTACTTAATTCTTTAAAAGAGAAAAATTAATAAGCTAAAAGTAAAAGACAAAAAATGTAAAAATGAGCTATTTTGTGGTTTTCAAATTTTTATAAAGAAAATAATTATTAGTTAATTCTAAAAATATAAAAACAAATTCTTAATGCAATGCAGGATATTTTTGGTATTTTTTTCATAATTAAAATAAAAATAAAACGTGCACAAAAATTCAAACAATTAAATAAAAACCTATAAAATGGCAAATAATTGGAAAATCTATTTTCTTGGATTGTATAGGAGCAATTCATATAGGGCAAAAATCACGTGCTCACAGCTGCCCCTCTTTGCTCGAAAACACGAAGGGTTTTCGGGCAAAAATAAAGTCAGCGGATACAAGCAATTTTTGCCCGTTTGAATACTCCGTGGGAAGCATTTTTTGAAAGATCTGACTGAACCTTGCTTCAGAGGTTGCCTACATATCCTTGGCTATAAAGGAATCAGGTCAGTGTAGTTTTGGAAGTTTCGGTAGCTGGGACTACCGGAAAGCTGTGATTTCACTACTGTTGCTGCTGTTTCTGCTTCCTAAGCTCCTTATTACATAAAAATGAAAAATAAAAAGCTAAACTAGCTAGCCTATCAACTAAGAGTTAGAAGATTCCTATCTATGAGTCTTCTGAAGCTTGATTTTGAGTCTTAGTTGGTTCTTCATACGGACTCTGATCTGAATCTTGATGCTTGTTAGCTGCAGGTGTTGGTTCAATCTTCTTCAGCTTTTTCAGATCAAGACGGGACATGCAGAGCATGTGACTTCAATTATGTCTTGAGTAGTCCACATCTTTTCTCTGTTTCTACACTTTGGATTCACTTTTTTTCTCTTATTCTTGATCGAGACTTCTTTTTTGTTATCTCGGACCTCTGTCGACCCGCATTTTTTAGGCGAGCTTCTGCTACTTCTAACTTGAATCGGATTCTGAAATGATTTCCTTTGTTCTTCAGGTGGGCGCCTGATTGCTGAACTTGACCTGTCTTCCTTCGAAACTTGAACCGTTTTCCCTTATTCTCCAAGTGGGCGCTTGATTGTTGTACTTGAACTGCTTTCCTTTGAAACTGCTTTCCCTTGAAACTTGAACTGCTTTCCTTTGAAACTACTTTTCCTTGAAACTTGAACTGCTTTCCCTTGTTTTCCATGTGGGCGCATGCTACTACAACAAAACAGACAAAACAAAAGAAACTTTTCTGCCCCTGTTTGGTACCGGGAACATCTGTGAGTGTTAATCGAATCCTGTTATTCAAAAGAGTTCTATGAATTTAAAAGCTGAATCCCATTATCTAGGAGGGTTCTGAAAAACTTTAAAATTAAATCTCATTATTCAGGAAGGTCTTGATTTCAAGACAACTAAATATTGATAACTTAAGAAAACTAAAATTGACCCATTCTTTTTTCCTTTTTCTTTTCTTTTTTTTTAAAAAAAAATCCAGACTTCCCTTTTCTTTTCCTTTTTTTTTCAAATTATCCTAGGAGAAAATTCGTCAGACTAGGTTTTAATCTTAGGAGAAAGATTCATCAGACTAAGACATCTATCCTAGGAGAAAGTTCATCAGACTAGGTTTTCTAATTTATTATCTTAGGAGAAAGATTCATCAGACTAAGATTTCTATCCTAGGAGAAAGTTCATCAGACTAGGTTTTCTATTTTATTGTCTTAGGAGAAAGATTCATCAGACTAAGATTTATATCCTAGAAGAAAGTTCATCAGACTAGGTTTTCTATCTTAGGAGAAAGATTCATCAGACTAAGATTTCGATCCTAGGAGAAAAGTTCATCAGACTAGGTCTCTTTTTCGGTATCTTAGGAGAAAGATTCATCAGACACAGATTTTTAACCTAGGAGAAAGTTCATCAAACTAGGTCTTCTATATTAGGAGAAAAATTCATCAGACTAAGATTTTTTTTTGTATCTTAGGATAAAGATTCATCAAAATAAGATGTTTATCCTTAGAGAAAGTTCATCAGACTAGGTATTCTATCTTAGGAGAAATGTTCGTCAGACTAAGACATTTATCCTAGGAGAAAGTTCATCAGACTAGGTCTTTTTTCTTTTTCTTTTTGTATCTTAAGAGAAAGATTCATCAGACTAAGATTTTATCCTAGGAGAAAGTTCATCAAACTAGGGTTCCTATCTTAGAAGAAAAAATGTAAAGATCAATGGTAAGATTTTACGCACAATAGCAAGACAAACAAAGGCAAAGATTTGAGAAACTTCCTTTTGTAGTCTCTTCTCTTCTTTTCTTTTCTTCTCTTTTTTTGTTTTTTTCCTTTTCTTTTTCTTTCTTTTTTTTCTTTTTTTTGAACCACTTTCCTTGCACTGCTTTGTTCCTGTTTCACACAAAGAAAAATTGGTCAGTTTTGAAAATGGTGGTCGGTTTGTGGCTTTGAGTCTTGGGCAGCTTGGCTTCTGCTCAATCAGCTTGAGTCGGTCTCAAAAGACTTTTGTTCCGCACAAACTCTGATTGTTTCACACTAGTACCATTTGTATTTGTAGCTCAAACAGCCTTATCCCAATTGGAGATCTTTGCTTAGGTGACCTTTTCCGATATCTTGAACGACTTCCTGCTTTTGAGCAATTTGTCTGTCAGAGAGAATCACCAGTTATCTTTGCTTGCGCCAAGTAGGCTGACAAGAGTCTTTAGGGGGAGCCTTTGAATGAATCTTCAAGGCATGTTGACAGCAACAACTGAGTGTGCTGGCCAAATTCCCTTTGTGCAACTGAAAAGCTGGTAGCAGTTTTGAAATCTTTTCTTGCTTGTTTTGACAAGGACTAACTCAGAGTGGAGGACACAATGGTGCAAAGAAACAAGTATTAACAAGAAATGCCCCTGTCGGAAGGATAGAAGGAAGAAAATTTTTTTTTCCCCAATAACTAGCCTTAATGATCATGACATGCATTTTGGACTCAACGGCCTGATCTATCAAACTAATCCAATCTTCCCTTTTACCATTCTTATGATCTTTGAAGTCGGGCCTATCCGTGCCAATCCTTTACATCAGCTTTACAACTCACTTTCAACTAATGGTGCCCCGAGGAATTTTCACTAACAAGCCTCTCTCATTTATTCATCTCTACTTACCGTCGCCTTACTGTGCCCGTGAGGATTTTCACTAGTAAGACTCTCTCATTTTTCTTTTTCTTTTTCTTACTTTTTGTGAGTAACTTGACAGTGTTATATGTCGTGTGACAACCGTTGCTCATTGCATGCTTCTCTTGGCATTCTTGAAGGCATATCGGGAGGTCTTTATTTGGAAGGTTTTTGGATAGGGTTAGACGAAAGGCCGACATGAGGCTCAAAACAGACTAAAGATGACGGGGTTGTATACTTACAACTTTTGGAATCGACTCTTTTAAAAATGAAATAAAAAATTTTCCCTAGTTTCAGCTATTGGGGATTTTTCTTTTTGATTTTCTTTCTTTTAAATTCTTATTTGGTTGGACCGAACCGTGAGGTTGCCTACGTATCCTTTTTTTAGGAATCAGGTCGAACGTAGTTCAAAGATTTGACCTAACTATTTTTCAACTTTCTTTCCTCTACCTTTTTCCTTTTTTTCTATCTTTTTTTTTTGTTTTGAAAAATAAGTTGCCCCAACTTCTATTTTTTGAGGGCATGGACCTTTGACAATTCTTTTCTTCTTCATTTTTTTTCACTTAAACTTTCTAAGAATTATCCCAGTTTGTACTCTTGGGACATGAAATTTTATTTTCTTTTTCTTTTTTCATTTTTTTTGACTCTTGACTCTAAACTTGATTCCAAAAGAGGGTGGTCAAAGAAAATAACACAGGCTCAAAAGGGGTAGCGAAGGATATAAAAGTATTTGGATAGCAAAAGAAGGGCCTCCCAGCCTCAAGAACGCCAAACATAGTATCTTTTTGCGATCACAGCATTGACGAACATGTCTGTCTTCTTGGTGTGTCGTGGTCACAAGACACTTTTTCATCCCTTAGTGACAAACTTTCCAACAAACTTCAATTGATTAAACTTCCTCAAGCCCGATCTTCACAATGATTTGAAAGTAAATTTTAATCGACCTTAATTCCAAAGTACTTCAACTCTTTATTCATCCTCAAAAGTGTATTTTCTTTTTTAGTTATCCAATTCCAGATCAAATTAGTTTCTAAGATCTGGCCAAAATTTCCGCATGCATGTCATGTTATTAGAACTAGCGAGAAAAGAACTAAGAATAGAATGACCAAAAGGACAAATTGTTTATTCATTGAGTAAAGGATATAAGGATTTGACAACAAGACAAACAACCTAAAATCCGAGTTACAACCCTAAAACAACTCGACGAATTAAAATAGCAACAAAACATGAATACAAGACTCACACAAACAGAATAGAGGGATAGAAGTGTTTTACTCAATAAAACAAATAGAATCTGGATCACAACCCCGAAATAACCCAGATAATAGAAAAAACATCAAAACAAGCTACCAAGATTCCTTCCTAGTGAGGAGGGAATGACTTTTCAATTGTTAGGCTTGACATTTAGCCACAAATTTGCTCATCAGAATCAGCAGAGCCTCTCCAATTTCAACATCATTAACTTCAGTTAGCAAGTTCCCGAGAGGATTCTTATACTCCATGTCACCAGGCATCATCCCCACAAAGTGTGCATCATGATATGTAGGTAAAGGATTCTGCGCGATATTTTGGGTGTCACTTTC